AATTTCTGTGTCTTGATTCTATTTCTAGACATTCATAATCCAAAGACTGTGTCCTGGTTTGGGCTCAGGAGTGTGTCCTTGCCTGACAGGATCCACATTTTCTCATTGATCAGAAGTTAATATCACACTGTTTGTTCATGGAAGTCTGTGTTTTTGTTCCCATTGGAAAATTCTATAATTAAATGAAACCTCCCTTATTTCTGACCATAAATATCATATCTTCTAAAATATAAGGTTCAGATGCCTGAAATTAAAGAAATATTTAGTGAAAATGTAGCTTTCCAAGAGTACAGCCTTCCAAAAAGATTGTTATCACATAATTAGTGTTTTGTTTGTTTGTTTTGTTTTGTTTTATCAAAATCTTCCCTTACGTGTGTGTGTGTGTATGTGTGTGTGTGTGTGTGTGTGTGTGTGTGTGTGTGTGTGTGTGTTCTATGATCACACAAGTGTGGGTGCACAAAGCCAGAAAAGAACACCAGGGGTCCTGCTTAATTACTCTCCTGTTTTCCCTTGAGAGAGTCTCACACTGAACCTGGAGCTAAGGCTGGTGCCTGGCAAGCTACAGAAATTCTCTCATCTCTGTTCATCTCCATGCCCAGCAGTGAGTTTGTATAGCTTTTTAACCCGGGTGCTGAGGACATGAACTCAGGTTCTCAAGCTTGCAAAGCAAACACTCTTACATACTAAGGCACCTCCCCAGCCCCCTCCTTTTTTTTCAATCATTTACTCTGTTCATTAAGGCTGGAAAAATGTTTCTGCATTTCCAGCATGCAGAAAAATGCTTGGTTATATCAAATGTGTCAAATATATCTGTTGAACAAGTAAATGCACAGGTTCTAGTCTGAGTCTCATACTCAGCCATTGAGTAGATTGTCCTAGAATTATAAATGCTGAGAGTATGAGCCCCTCACAGCCAAGTGGATGCTTCTCACCACAAGAACAGACTCCAGAAAGTCCTGAGTATGCTACATGAACCCAACTCTATATCAGAGGGCTGCACCTGACCTTCAGAAATGATGCCCTCTAGCACAGTTTCAAAATGTCAAAGAAAATTGACTGTCCAACTCCTGACCCAGCCAGTGGTCTCCACGGAAGGATTAATATCAGGAGAGAATGTGAAGCGGCAACTTGGAGTACAACTGCGTCTCACTATCACAGACACGAGGAAGGTTCTGGCTGGTGATTTAGAAATCCCACCCGTAGCCCTTAATAGAGAAAAGCTTTCAATATTCATCCCAAGTGTAAAAAAAAAAATCTGAAGAAACTAGCCCTAGGCACTTGCAAGCACTCATGGTTAAAACAGTACTTTCCAACCTTAGACTGACATTTTAGCTTCACTTCCTAGGACTCTCTAGTTGCTGAAAAATAGAATCAGGGAAATCTTAGGCTTTGGATGCCTGGTTAGAGCATGTGGCTTTAATCCTTATGCACACAGAGGGCAGAGGGTCTAGGAAGTTCTGACCACTGGAAGAAGCAGAAGAAGAGGTACAATAGGGAAACACTGAACCGTAGCCAGAGAATAAAGTGGAACCAAATGAGAGACACACGGGTCAATCCATATGGCTCTCAGTCTTGCTCCAAGTCCACCATTGACTGAAAAAGACCCCCTAACCCCTGGGTATATAATGTCTGCTTTTTCTGTTTGTCCTGTGCCTTTTACATTTTCTTTTATAAGAAGAAAGTTCACCTTCATTTTCAGGCAGGTACACCATTTCTGAATAATTAAAGACATCTAAATATATCGTAGAAGCTTCATTGTTTGAGGATTCTGGCCAACTAGTCACATGTCCAATATCAAACTCAAGAAAAAGGAGCCTCTCGATACTGGCAAAGCCAGAATCGCCCTGGGCAGAGTTGAGCAGACAAGGGAGCATTTTCTCAAGGTGAATGTAGAAGGTGAGGAAGCCAGAAACCAGCCAGACTGAAATCCACTCCACTGGAGCAAAGGGAAGGAGAACGACTTACGTGCTGGGATAAGGGAGAAAGACGGGTAGTCTTGTTTGCTTCCCGGCTTTGTTTAAAGTGAAAGTATGCTTTTCTTGCAATAGGTGGTAACTGTGTGACTAGAAACAAAACGTGTGAAAGTCAGGCTCCAGCCCTCCGCATGGAAGCTGGCAGGAAGGAAAGCTATTTCCCTTGGGGTTGGCATTCAGGGAGACAGCTGAAAACACAGTTAAAAGGCCATCTCAAAAACTTTATAATTACAAATTTTCTAAAGCTGATACTGCAAGAAAATGGAGGTCAGGGTGCTAGAGATTGGGAGAAAAAAAATAAGTGAAATTTAGTCAAGCTGAGGATATTATGATTGTCTTAGTCAATGTATTTAAGTGAGCTGTGTAATGAAGTCCTGCAGAGAAAGAGAACCAACCATGTCCGTGTCCGTGTGTGTCCGTGTCCGTGTGTTTCCGTGTGTGTCTGTGTGTGTGTGTGTGTGTGTGTGTGTGTGTGTGTGTGTGTGTTTATCTCTAGATCTGTCACTATTGGTCTACATAAAGCTAGAGACAGGTTAAAAATAGATCTATGTATAAGATATAGATGTAGATTATAATTGTTCAGCCTAGCAAGTCTGAAATTTATAGACCAAGTTGACTGGACTGGAGACTAGGGAAGTGCTGAAGTTGCCATGGAAGTCAGAGGAAGAAAGTATGCTGGCAGGATCTCTCGAGAGATCTCAGTCTCTGGGTCTTTGACTGATTGGCTAATGCCCACTTGTATTCGGAGAAACACTGATAAACCCTGAAGGTTAGGGTTGAATCTGAAGCGCACCCTCGAACACACACTCTCAAGCGGTGACTGTTCTCCAGTGCTGTGCTGTCTGGGAGCTACGGAACCGTTAGAACCGTGAGAAGGCGGTGAATGTTGAGGTGGTAAGTCATTAGAGACAGGTGCTGGAAGGTTGTACCCTAGTCTCTGCTTCAGCACTCTTCTGGTCTACCCTGATGTGAACAGCCTCTGCCACAGGCACTTGACACCAGGACTGAGTGTTTCTGCTCTCTGGTCCCCATCATGGTGGAATCGGTAAAATCATGAGCCCTGAGGATCCTTTCTTAAGTTGTTTGTAGGAACTGTGGGCAAGGGCTTCAGAAGTAGCCAATATATTGGCACAGACAGGGTTCTATTCTGTTTTTGTAGCTTCAGAAAAGTAGAAAGAATTGTAATTTTTTTTCCTGGATAATCAAGCTTCCTTTGAAATATATGAATGCCAGACAAGCACCCCGAGGCATCAATGCCTCATGTTTGGAGAAAGGGATCCAGTTTGTACTTTCCACAGGCCCAGAGGTAAAAAGTGTCTGACCTTCTGATGATAAGCAGGCATTATTTCAGGAACTGCGGGGGACCGGCACACAATCAAAGAGGCAGGAGACTTGCAATTTACATTTGCTCTGTGATATGGGCGAAATTGAGATGTAGAAATGCAGCTTTTTTTTTTCAGAGTTCGTCTACACAGAGAAAACTACAGCCCATGATAAGAATTAGATGTCATTAGCCTTAGAAATGACAACTTTAGATATTGTGTGGTGCTTAGCTCTTTGGGAGAGTAGAAGCTAGAAGAATAAAATAGAAAAGTGCACTCAAGCACTAAATAGACATGTGAAGAAAGCTTCTGGTGGATGAAGTTATTATTCACCCGATATGTACCATCTCTCAGATCCTCGGATGCACCTTGAAATGCAAATTGCTCTGTCCTAGATAGTGAATTTTTTTTTCTGTATGTGGGGCCTGAAGATAACTTTGGTTCTCATTCTGGGCCCTTTATTTTAACCTTACAAAGTCTCTTATATAGAGAATTATTGTAACTTGTCTCTGCGGTTTCATTTTCCAGAGAACTTACATGTCCCGCTACTCAGCTCTAAAGACTCTACTGAAAGACTTCTAACACTAAATTCAACAAATCAAGGACAGAGGTTTATAGAATCTTCTTTCCTAACTATTTAATCATTTCTCAAAAATAAAAAATCCACATTGTAATGTTGAATTAGCCCACATCCCGTTTTCCTACGGTATGCCCTTCCTATCCTTTATTCTTGCCAAACATTGTCTTGCTTTGATAAATATTGTATTCTTTGGGACTGGGGATACGTTTCAGTGGATAACGTGCTTGTCACATGGGGTGATGACTTGATCTCGGGTCCCCAGAGCCCATGTGAAGTCTGGAGTGGTGGCAGTTTCTGTCATCCTAGAGCTCCTTAGGGAGGTTGAAGGAGGAGAAAGAGGAATTCCTGAAGCTTGCAGGGTGGCTTGCCTGGAAAATACAGCTGCAGACGAAGAGATCCTTTCTCAATGGAGGTGGAAGGTGAGGATCAACACCTGAGGTTGTCTTCTGACCACCACGCACATGGTGTGTTATTTGTGCACCTTTACTCAGAGTACCATGTGCACACACATACAAGTATCATAAACACACAGATGGTGAGTGTGTGTGTGTGTGTGTGTGTGTGTGTGTGTGTGTGTGATTGTACTTAAAACTCACAAAATTGAGAGTTTGATCTCAAACTTTACTGTATCTCTAAAATCCATTTTCCCCAATAAGGCTGCATGTACACATCCCTACATTTAGCATATAGACACATATTTTCAATGCAAATACCTTTCAATTCACAATAGAATTCATGGAAATTGATATTTTTGATCAGTTCCCAGTCACTTAACCTTGAAAAGCCACTGTTTTTAAAATTTTTAGAAATCTTTAGTTTTTAAAATTGTCATACTATATCAAATTTTAAGCCTCCATATTGTATGAACATAATGAATGTGCCCACAAATCTCTTAGATATTGACTTCTATAGATGAACTGAAAATTGAAAAGGTTTAATAATGTCAAAAAAATCAAGGGTAGTTTATGACCTCAGAGTAGAAAGAGGAAATCCAAACAAACCCTCTTCCCAAGTACAGATACATAATTTCACAAAGCAATAAAGAACATTGGTCTAAAAGCCACATCACAAAAAAATACAGTATGGTTAGTTTCTGTGAATTTCAAACATACATACATTACTTACTGTGATTTGAATTCACTTTGTTTCCACCTGAACTCATGTGGAGGCATGATCCTAAATAATTCTGCCATGTTGAGAGGAGGACCTAGTTCAGCTGAAGAAATGGAGTTCTCAGGAGCCTATCACTGCAGTCACAGAAGAGCTGTCACCCACCGGGACTGCGTTAGTTACCACAAGAGTAGGCTGTTATAACACGAGGCTGCCCTTCAAGTTCTGTCTCTTGCTCATGTGCCCAGTTGCATTGCTGATTCTTACCATGAGTCAAAACAGCATAAGGTCATTGCCAGAAGTCAAGCAGATGCCATCACTCTTCTCTTGGACTTTCTGACTAGTAAGCCAGTATTAACACACTTCCCCCCTTTCCTGTTTTGAACCTCTTATCTTTACCAAGTACCCAGTCTCAGATATTTTGTTATGGTAACAGGAAATGGACCAGGACATGAAAAATATGCATATATGAGAAAGCTGAAGAAAACATGATAATGACTAAAAGTATCAGTGAGGGCAGGGGAGGTGACTCAGTACTTTCCTTGCAAGATTGGGGACCTGAATTCAATTCCCAGAGCTGGGCATGCCAGTGCACGTTTATAATCCCCAAAATGGTGACACAGGAGGGAGAGCCAGGTGGATCTTTAGCTCACTAGCCAGCTAGCCTTGCCTACTTAGCGAAGTTCCAGGCCAATATGGGACCCTACTGGGGAGAGTGCCAAAGAAATGACACTGGAGGTTATCTTTGACCTCCACATGCACATACACAAATGTACCCCATACACATGAATACACACACACACACACACACACACACACACAGGAGGTGTTAATGGGTTGAATAGAATTCAAAGCTATAAGTGCTCTATAATGTCTTAAAGTAAGTAGGTAAAGGGTACCTGGATTTCTCTTCAATTTACATTCCATAATACTGTTATGCAGTTTAATGTATTTATATGTATGCATTCATATTACAGGGTGTCCATGTGCATATATATGTATGTGCAAATGCATAATGTATAATGCAAAGGCATTAGTTTGTGATGGTTAGTTTATGTTGAGTGTAGGCTATCCCCCCTTGAGATTGCTGTCTCAGTCTTTAGTTGTTTATATAACTCATGTATTGAATAGCTTTTCAAATAAGTTTTCTCAAGCTTAATCTTGTTGGTAATAAACACTTTTGACAATATTATATATTACTTCTCCAAGATCGACCTACTACAAACCTCACTTTAAATTGTAATTGTATAAAAAGAAAAAGAATTTCCTTTATAACAGCATTGCTGCAGAGATGGCAAATGAAAACACTTTTGCTCACATTATTCTAATCAGCTGGCATTGTTAAGGAATCTTAAACTCAGAGCGACTCCTTTTGAAGTAATAATACGTATTTGGTCTCTGCCCCCACTTTGTGGAACTGAGTCTCCTTGGACTCTCTGAAGTGATATCTTTCTGCATGGGAATGAGGTAAGTGGCAAATAATCGCCTAGGCATAGATACCGGTTACCAAGGTAACCACTCACACATCTAGAGGTTTGTAACCTTCTGCTCCCCTTACCCCCAGGAAGAGGAACTAAAAAGGTTGTTTGTTCACCAGTGCCCAATGATCCAATCAATCCATGCCTACATAATAATGTTTCCATAAAAGTCCAAGAGGATGTGGTTCAGAGAACTCCAGGTTGTCACACACGTGTAAGTTCTGAGCCTGTGTCCTACCTCAGCCTCACAAGCACAGAGCTATGGTTCCCAGGATCATTCTAAGTCCTTCCCTCTGAGATTTTCTTCATCTGACTGAGAGTTTGTCAGTGCTTCTCAACCTTCCTACACTTTCAAACAATTCCTCATGTTGTGGTGACCCCCAACCAAAAATGATTTCGTTGCTACTTCATAACTGTAATTTTGCTACTATTATGGATTGGAATGTAAATATCTGTGTTTTCTAATGACCTTAGGTGACCCCTGCAAAAGGGTTATTTGACCCCCAAAGGGGTCACGACCCAGAGGTTGAGAACCACTGGCTTATATCTTATAAGGTATCCCTTGTAATCAATTGACCATGATAGCTTTTAGGATTGAACTATAAAATGTCTTACATGTGTCAATTGCTAGGTCTCCAGCTGGTGGCATTTTTTTTGAGAGGTGGTGCCAACTTCAGGGGGTGAGAGCAGCTCACAGCTGTATATCAAGGAATGCATGCTTTTTTTTAAGGTTCTCCCTGCCCCCCTGCTCCCTTTCTTTCTGCTTCCTGCCTGTTAAGGAATGAGTGACTTCTGCCACAAGGCTACCACCATCATGCCTTACCATATTGGCAGCTTGAATCAATAGAACCAAAGACTATATCCTGAAATGTCTGAAGCTGCGAGTCCAGAATTTGTGAGCCATTTTGGTGACTGAATGGTAGATAGGGGCTCCCAAGAAGTCTCCATGTGAAGGCAGTCGGTCTGAAATAATGGGAGTCTAGACTTGTGATCAGCACCGGAAGGAAGGGGTGACCTTGAGGGTGAAGATCCCTAGAGTTAATGTCATTACAGAATTTGATAATAGGACACCCAGCTAATTTCTAAAGTGGTCAGTGTGAAAAAGTCCCATTCATCTCGTCTCGAAAGAGCCCCACCTGGAGAATGCAGGAGCTTAAATGAGTTTGTTGTCTGCATTTCCTGTGCCCTGTACTTTCCTTCCATAAGCTAAGCTGACATAGTTCAGGGAAAAAGCAGCTTATTTGAATCAGATTTCTGTGAATTTGAGGCCAGCCTGGCAGATGTACCGGGGCAGCCAGCAAGACATAGTGAGACCCCCATCTCAAAAAAAAAAAAAAAAAAAAAAAAAAAAAAAAAAAAAAAAAAAAGTTCTCTATTAAAGCGGCTGGCCCCACTTGCTTTTGTAATACTCTTCAAGCCTATATTTTGGATGATTTAACTCAAGATTCACTTAGATCTGAAAACAGTCTTACAAGAAGAAAGCTGCAGATTTGTCCAGCCAAATATCTAAATACTGATTACACTATTTTTTTTTTTAACTTCACAGCTTCCAGGGAAAATTTTTCATGTTTTTTTTTCCCATAACAAATTCATAAACTTAGTTTTCCCTTGATTTACTTCCACTTTTTGTGCTTGTGACTTTAATAATGGTGGTTTGCTGAGAAGGTTTGTTCTTGTTTTTTGTTTGTTCTTGGAATCTTTTGTTAAAAAAAAAAAAAAAAAACCTTTTCAAAATCTTTGCTTCACCCTTCACTGCATAAAACACATATCCTGAGTGGATTGAGCTCGCTTGATGATGTCAAGGCATATTGAGGTAAGAAGAGCTTTTCTACCTCTGTCCCGCTCCCCTAAAGAGGACAGCATAGGCTGTTCAGGCGCCATGTGGCCTGAAGACAGTATGATGAGCAGAGGACTTCAGTAAAACTTCCTAACAAAGTGGTAATCCATCCTCAACCCAAATTGGTTGAACACAACAACCATCATTGTTTCCATTTCATTTAATGCCCATAAAAATGAAGTCACTCGAATCCAACAGCTATAGGCTCAGAATATTTTCACTGCAATTTTGCTGGATGCACAGACCCATCTCTTTCTATTTTGTGTTCACATTTTATTAGAGAGCACTTACATAAGAATAAAGAAGAGATGTCCAGTCCCATTACAATTTCTTGCTATTCCACATTCACATCACTAATTTTGTACAGCTAACATAAATACTTATATGGTTATTTTAACATAAGCAAATTTTTACCATTACCATATATTTTTATGGTAATATCTGTTGCACTTATAAAATTGCATCAATTGATTGGCATAATCTCCTCAGCTATTCTCTCATTATGAGACATTTAAGCTGCTTCGACTTCAAATGAATGATTAAAATTAACTTGTAGTTTAATAACTAGGAAAATGTATTTTTCCCATTGTCATTTATTTTAGTACAATTAAATTCTATAGGTTGGCACTTTGGGGTCAAATGTTATGCACTTTTATAATGACTTGTTATGAATTTTTAAATATACACACATTTCTGAATTATTTGAATATCATTTGCAGATATAATATTCCTTTCTCTATAAATAAATTTAGTGACTGCTTTGTAAGAATTTGGATTATCTGTACTGTAATCACAGTATATTTTGTTAAATCGAAGTACCCAGACCCAGTAAAATAGTTTTGTTTATCCTGTAGTTCATATTCAACGGCTTCCATTTACTGTGATTTATTATATATTTTTTTCTTGGCTACAGCCCAATCCAGAATCACATTTCATCACTGTATATCTTTATTTCTTTTTGCTTTTTCAATTTTTCATATGTTTGTGGTGTGTGTGTGTGTGTGTGTGTGTGTGTGTGTATGTGCATGTGTGTGTGTGTGTGTGAGTGTGTGTGTGTGTGTGTGTGTGTGTGTACCATGTGCGTGCATGGTGTACAGGTGTGTGTTTTTGCTTGTGTAAGGGTGTTCATGAATGTGGAGGCCCAAGGTTGCTATGGGAAGAGACAGTGGACATGACTAATCTTGCTACCCAACCTTCTCTGGGAATTCCCTGACTTTGCTTCCAGGCTAGAATTAGAGGAAGGCCACCATATCCACCAGTCACTTACTTTTGTTCCTGGCGATCAGAATGCCATGAGCCATCTACCCAGCCCTAGTCTTTATTAACATAAAACAATTTTCAGTCCTCTCATTTTAAATGGCTTTGAGGATTTTTATTTTTGAAGATACAGGTCAATTATTCCAAAGAACGTCCTACAACTGACATTTGCCCACTGTTTCCTTGTGACTAGGTCCAACTTATACGTTTTTTTGTTGTTGTTTTATAAGAAAGAATAGCCTAGACTTGATGCTATGTTCTTCCCTCCACATCATTTTAGGAGCCCAAGTTGCCCTTGTTGGTGGTGCTGTTAAGGTTGTTAAGGTCTCACTTCATTAGGTGTAGTCTACCAGGATTCCTCTCTAGAAAGTAACTGGTTTTCCTGTTGTGATTAATAAGTAATTTGAAGGAGGTACTTTGAAGTTATGCAAATCTTCTGTTCCTCATTAAAGTTTTACCTGATATTTTTAGCATCTATTAATAATTTGTGCCTGAATCAATCATTACTCTGATGGTTACAGGAAGGAGGATTTATAATAAATCATTTGTTTTCCACTGTTCAGAGGGGCTTTCTCTTTCCTCCTTTAATTTGTATTACTGTGGGCTCACACTAGGTTATTTCAATTCATACATGTATATGTCCTGTTA